CAGAAAATAATCAATACTCTGGGGCCTGTCATAAGGATAAATTTAAAAGGACAATGCAAGTAAAATGGATAGTGTGGTGTTGAGTGGACAGCAGGTGATCAATAAGATGATGTTGAAGGCTGATGAAATTGTTATTGGGGAACATTAAACAGAACATCCATAGCTGACTAAATAAGGTAATGTCAATAATGTACATATGTTCTGCTTCAGGTTGCGTTCACATTATGCTGCTTTTCAACCTTAGAGGAATTTTGAGCAATAGATACTAAACAGATTTTAAAAACACTCTTAATTTTACTAGTGTAATTCTAATAAAATTTCAGTCAGGAAATATTATAGTGCAAGTGCTTAAAAAGTCACAGGAAATCATAATGCAAAATTTTAAACTAGTACTTAAATACACCCGTATTAACTTCAGTACAGTGTGTAGGTTCAAATGAGACCTCTGAATCCCCTTGTTGCATTAGTATAATTTCACCGGTATAACGGGAGAATGCCATGTCATCTCTGGGCAGCTGCCTCATGACTAAAACTTGGGGTGTTTTAAAGGAGGCCTTGATAGTTAATCCTCTGTAAAACTCTGTTATTTCAGTTGTCTACGTTAAAGAAAAGAGCAGACCCTGATTTCTTCATTAATAAAATCACTAATAATTTCTATTTAGTAATAGATCCTCCCAAGTAACTATCTTTACTGCATGCTAACATATATACTGTTCAGTAATATAAAACCTGCAACAGAGCTAAGTCGTGCTATGTAAAAAATAAGCTATTAAAGGAAGGGTTTGTGAAGACCAGAACAGACGTCAATTCTGAATTGTTGAACCTGTCAAGTTTTTTAACATCAAAAAGTGCCATTACTTCCTTTCTAATGAATATGACATTATGAAGATTATATGTGACAGTTCAGGGAGTGCCATCATGTCTGTTGTAATATTAAGCAATGTTATTTTGGGGGGCCCCAAAAATGTCTTCACTAAAAGAGATTACCACCCCTAAGGCAAATGCTACATGGCCTCCCGTCAACCAGTTCCCAATAATGGTAACAATTTATAACAATCACTTTCAAATCTATTTCAATGCAAATTTTAATCTTACTGTGTGAAGAAAGAAAATCAAAGTTCAGAACAGTATGTGCTACATTTTGTCTATACAAAGGGTAGGGGGAGAAAGCATGTGTCTTTTCTGCTTACGAACCTCAGTCTGAAAATATTAAATGGAAAATTCCAGAAATAAGCGATTCCTAAGTTTTAAATTGCACACTGTGCTGAGTAGTGATGAAATCTCGCGAGTCCCGCTCTGCCCAGCGCCGTCTGGCCCAGCACGTGACTCACCCGTTTGCCCAGCGTCTCCAGGCTGTAGACCTCGCCTGGGACTTTCCTGGTAACCCCCTTGGTTACCAGATCTGCTGTCACAGTATTACAGTGCTAGTGTTCAAGTCACCTTTACTTTGCTTCATAACGACGCCAAAGCACAGAGTAGTGATGCTGGCAGTTCAGAGATGCCACGGAGAAGCCGAAAAGGGCTTCCTTCAGGTGAAAGTTCTCTACTTAATAAGAGAGTGGCATGCTGAGGTTGCTGAGCTCTGAGGTAAGAACGACTCTCCTACCCTTGAAACTGTGAAGAAGGAAAAAGAAACCCCTGCCAGTTTGGAGAGAGGGGGGGTTGGGGGGCGGGGAAAGAGAGGGAGAGAGAGAGAGACTGAGACTACATTGGTTAAGCGGTGCATGCCTGTGACTCAGTGCTACCTCATTCACCTCTCTGCATCTCATCACGTGACATTGTATCATCTCACATCATCACAAGAAGAAAAAGGGTGAGTACAGTACAATAACCTATTTTGAGAGACCACATTCACATAAGTCTTATAACACTATATTGTCATAATTTTATTGTATTAATTATTGTTATTTGTCATTGTGTCTAATTTATAAATTAAATTTGATCATAGGTATGTATTTATGGGAAAAACACATAGTTTATATATGGTTCTGTACTATTTATGGTTTCAGGCATCCACTGGGGGTCTGGACGTATCCCCACAGGTAAGCGGGTACAATGGGAATCACTGAAGACATATCTGTTCGGGAGGCAGCCTGTGATCATGGTGATTATGGGATGAGTGGAACACTAAAGGGGGGACATGTTACCAGTTCTAGGTGCTGCTGACTTGCCTGCCTTCCCCATCTCCCCTTTTATTAGCATCCTAGTCATTGTCAATCATACAGGAAAGGTAGTCTGTCTGTCTGTGTCCAGAAGCCTAGAATTTCCATTTGTGAGCAGTAGCAACAGGAGCAGTAGGATGGCATCGTGGAATATGTCAGTGCAGCTCTGCCTCTGTGTGCCCACAGTCTCGCTGGGGCACCCGCCACACTGCCAAGATTGCCCTGACAGATGGTAGGCACGATGGTGCCCCCAGGTGGTAATACAGTCATATCTGAAGCAAGCAGCAGACCACCTGGCACTGGCACAAAGATGCCGGCGTATTCTCGTATTGCAGCCAATTTGACATGCACCCATTTCCCTCTTCTTCTCTATGTCCGAAGCTGCCAAGGTCTGCACCATATTTGAAATTCTACTCCATTCAGGATTTTATTTCAATCGAATTCAATCCATATGTGTTAGTTTACAGGTTGGTATAAAAGCTGAGATGATTGAGTTTTGTTCCATTTCAACCCAACTTCAGTCTTTATTTATAGGATTAATTCTGAAGGAATTCGTGAGTATAAGATTAGAAGGATAAAAATTTATTTTAAATGGACCTATAAAAAGAGTGACTTCAACAGAAAAAAGAGAGGAGCATTTTTCCTATAGGATACTTGCTGTTACCTGCAATATTAATCAATGAAGGAATATTTACTTACAAGGTGTTTAGGAATGATTCTCTCAAGTAGACACTCTAAGACTGAAATATGCGTCACCAGAAAGCACCATTCTCCGGCCTCCTTCTCTGGGTGTTCTCCATCTCTTTCTGAGTTCTATCCCGACTCTTGTCCCCTAAATTCCCACAAATGCACATTTTCTTACTTTATCCACCTGGGGGAAAGTTCATGTATATGCAAAATAGAATCTAAGGTGAATTTCAAATTTAGAAGTATGAACCTATCTGGGTTCTGGAATTATCCGTCAAAAATGACTCAGAGCTACCAGTTCACATAAAAATGAAAATAAATACCACAACCTAGGGTGAATCACTTTCTGTATCTAATCTTGTAAATATTCAGTCACCACAATCAGCTGCAAGTTTATTTCCCTTTTCCTCTTGTACCCACCAAAGTGGCTCCAATACCTATTTCTAAAAGGACAATCTTTAATAGGTAATGAGTAAAATGTTAAAGGCATACCACTAAGAAAATGAGGGGGGAAGGCATTGCATTGTGTGTCTGCTTTTTAAATCTTTTCATTTTCTCTGCTAGTGGATTCTTCTCTCTCTCCCACACTTAGGAATGACTTGCAGCAAAATATGCAAGTTTTAGACTGTAAGTTTCTAGTATTGGTTTTGAGAAGTTGCCACTGTATAAATCATGACTTGAAGGCTGAAGTTAACCTAAATTTTTCAGGTCTTTTTTGTTAGCAACCCTGGTCTATTTAAAGTATGCTGGAATTTATTTCTCCTTGTTAGCCAACTGGAATCCCAGGGGCAGGGATCTTACAGAGCCTCTTGAGTATTTCATTTAGAAACAGAAGGCAGAGAATTTTGAAACCCTTTGATCCTCTTCAAGTACTTCCCATTTCTCAATCAATCTGTTTAACAATAAATGCAGGCTTGTACTTTCATAAAAACAACAACACATTGCATCAAAATATTTACTGAATTATTCACTTATTTAAAGGAAAAG